AAATATATTTATGTTTTTGTAGATATAAAGGTTTACATATAATGTAACTCAGGGAAAAAACCTCCACTAGAAAAAGCAAAAAATAATTAGGCAATGAAGCATTTTCAAACCCAAATTCCTGTTTCAAACTTCAAATAGTTTTTTCTATAAACACAAAATGAGTGTTTATTCACCAGTAGGAGGTTGGACTAGATGAACTCTATTATTTCTTTCCAAATCTAATACTCCATGAAAATTATGCTTTCTCTGCTATTTTAATTTTACATGTATGAGGATGAACCCTTTCCCTTACCTCTGGTTTAACTTAAGACTATTTTTGTATACTTGTCATTTCCATTAAAAAAAAAAAAATCAAACTGTCCTCAACCAAAACAAGACCCAAAAATGTAACCCTATCAGATTTCAAACAGATTTGTTGCTGCTCCTCTGAAATCTCCCTTATCCAGTCCTATGAGGGCAAAGGGAAAGATGAATCCTCCCCACTGGTGATGACCCACGCAGGAATCATTTCTTGAAATAAATACTAGACAGTAAAGGCAAGCAGTTGTGAAAAGCAGGGCACGGCAGCAAGTCACATTTTCCTATTCTTTGACCAAAAGGAGAAGAAAATAAAGAACCCTGGAGTGGTCTAAGACTGTAATAGCAAAGTATATCAAGGACACAGAAACTTAATTATTGAGAACTTTTGCAGTTTAAAAATCTTAGACATTCTTAAATACTAGCCAGAACAGATTTTTTTTTCCAACCCAAGACTGCTATTACACAGATAAGACAGCAGGAATTCTTATTTCTGTAATAAGGTAACAAAATTCACCTAACCTGTGAAAATAAAGTAGTATTGAAGATTTACATGGTATGTTTTTTCCTAAGAGCTTCACATCACTTACACAGGTCACACAGAGAGGATGCCCAAAGTGGCATAACTAGGAAGTGGACATGCCTGTCTGGGCTCTCAGTCTCAATATAGATGCAGGGCCTTCTCCATTCAAGCCAGAAGAATCTCCTATCATATTATTTATACATAAACTTTGCATCTGAAAATTAGATATGACTTTTCCAAGACACATACGCACTGCCCCCCCCCACCCCCATCCCCCCCGCCAAAAACACTGTTGGTATACTAATGCTATTTAATAACAGACAGCTAAAAAATTCAATCAAATACTTTTGTCTAGGAGATCAAAAGCTTCTGAGAATGTCTTTCACTTCAAAGAATCACACCTTCTGTGTTGAGGGGACTAAGTTTTCTGCAAAGGCCCCATTATCCATTCAAGTGAATGAAGTGCAAACTGAAAGAGAGGAAATTTACTAGAAAGTGGGACCAGCAGCTCTAACTCTTGGCTCTATCGCTCACTTACCTGGGCCACCTGGGAAACTAGTGACAGTATCTCAGATACATGATCCAGGAGACCACGTGTCTTGGGTACATGATCCAGGAGACCACAATGGAATGATGTTAAAAATGCTTGTGGAAACCAATACAGATAGCATAACAGTCCCAATAAACTGGAGACAGTTCAGTTCAGTTCAGTTGCTCAGTCGTGTCCGACTCTTTGCGACCCCATGAATTGCAGCACGCCAGGTCTCCCCATCCATCACCAACTCCTGGAGTTTACTCAAACTCATGCCCATCGAGTTGGTGATGCCATCCAACCATCTCATCCTCTGTCGTCCCCTTCTCCTCCTGCCCCCAATCCCTCCCAGCATCAGGGTCTTTTCCAATGAGTCAACTCTTTGAATGAGGTGGCCAAAGCATTGGAGTTTCAGCTTCAACATCAGTCCTTCCAATGAACACCCAAGACTGATCTCCTTCAGGTTGGACTGGTTGGATCTCCTTGCAGTCCAAGGGACTCTCAAGAGTCTTCTCCAACACCACAGTTCAAAAACATCAATTTTTCGGCGCTCATCTTTCTTCACAGTCCAACTCTCACATCCATACATGACCACTGGAAAAACCATAGCCTTGACCAGACGGACCTGTGCTGGCAAAGTAATGTCTCTGCTTCCTAATATGCTATCTAGGTTGGTCATAACTTTCCTTCCAAGGAGTAAGTGTCTTAAATTTCATGGCTGTAGTCACCATCTGCAGTAATTTTGGAGCCCCAAAAAATAAAGTCTGACACTGTTTCCACTGTCTCCCCATCTATTTCCCATGAGGTGATGGGACCAAATGCCATGATCTTAGTTTTCTGAATGTTGAGCTTTAAGCCAACTTTTTCACTCTCCTCTTTCACTTTCATCAAGAGGCTTTTTAGTTCCTCTTCACTCTCTGCCATAAGGGTGGTGTCATCTGCATATCTGAGGTTATTGATATTTCTCCCGGCAATCTTGATTCCAGCTTGTGCTTCTTCCAGCCCAGCGTTTCTCATGATGTACTCTGCATATAAGTTAAATAAGCAGGGTGACAATATACAGCCTTGACGTACTCCTTTTCCTATTTGGAACCAGTCTGTTGTTCCATGTCCAGTTCTAACTGTTGCTTCCTGACCTGCATACAGGTTTCTCAAGAGGCAGGTCAGGATGTCTGGTATTCCCATCTCTTTCAGAATTTTCCACAGTTTATTGTGATCCACACAGTCAAAGGCTTTGGCATAGTCAATAAAGCAGAAATAGATGTTTTTCTGGAACTCTCTTGCTTTTTCGACGATCCAGCGGATACTGGCAATTTGATCTCTGGTTCCTCTGCCTTTTCTAAAACTAGCTTGAACATCTAGAAGTTCTTGGTTCATGTATTGCTGAAGCCTGGCTTGGGGAATTTTGAGCATTACTTTACTAGCGTGTGAGATGAGTGCAATTGTGCAGTAGTTTGAGCATTCTTTGGGATTGCCTTTCTTAGGGATTGGAATGAAAACGGACTTTTTCCAGTCCTGTGGCCACTGCTGAGTTTTCCAAATTTGCTGGCATATTGAGTGCAGCACTTTCACAGTGTCATCTTTCAGGATTTGAAATAGCTCAACTGGAATTCCATCACATCCACTAGCTTTGTTCGTAGTGATGCTTTCTAAGGCCCTCTTGGCTTCACATTCCAGGATGTCTGGCTCTACCTGAGTGATCACACCATCGTGATTATCTGGGTCATGAAGATCTTTTTTGTATAGTTCTTCTGTGTATTCTTGCCACCTCTTCTTAGTATCTTCTGCTTCTGTTAGGTCCATACCATTTCTGTCCTTTATTGAGCCCTTTTTTGCGTGAAATGTTCCCTTGGTATCTCTAATTTTCTTGAAGAGATCTCTAGTCTTTCCCATTCTGTTGTTTTCCTCTATTTCTTTGCATTGATCGCTGAGGAAGGCTTTCTTATCTCTCTTGGCTATTCTTTGGAACTCTACATTCAAATGGGAATATCTTTCCTGTTTTTCTTTGCTTTTTACTTCTCTTCTTTTCACAGCTATTTGTAAGGCCTCCTCAGACAACCATTTTGCCTTTTTGCATTTCTTTTCCATGGGGATGGTCTTGATCCCTGCCTCCTGTACAATGTCACGAACCTCCGTCCATAGTTCATCAGGCTCTCAGTATATCAGATCTAGTCCCTTAAATCTATTTCTCACTTCCACTGTATATTCATAAGGGATTTGATTTAGGTCGTACCTGAATGGTCTAGTGGTTAAACTGAAGACAAGTAGATACCAAAAACCATAAAGCCCACTTTTATGTATGTGTGTTGTTGTTGCTATGTTAGTTGCTCAGTTGCGTCCTACTCTTTTGACCCCATGGACTGTAGCCCACCAGGCTCCTCTGTTAATGGAATTCTCAAGGCAAGAATACTGGAGTGGGTAAGCCATTGCCTTCAACTGGGGATATTCCCAACCCAGGGATCAAACTTGGGTATCCTGCCTTGCAGGTGGATTCTTTACCATCTGAACCACAAGAGAAGCACCTTACATATATACAGGCCCTTATTACCAACTGCCAGCAGCAACCTAACAGCCAAAAACTGCCGCGCCTGCTTCAAAGCATTTCAGAATGCACTGAGCTGAACCTTTCTGTACGACCTAGATTTTACTTTAATCATCTTTTAATTCCATCCTCACAGAATCATTACTGTAAGATGATTCCTAATGAACAGAAATTATAATTTGAGTATTACAGGGCTTTTTCTGCCTCTACATTCTCCTGTGGGTATTCACAAAGGTCATGCACAATTCTTACCCACATGTTTCTAATTCCACCCATTTCTCCACACATAAGAAGCAAATACATGATAAGAACAGTCTCTAATTTATTAAAAAGAACAAATCATTCTGAACTCTCAGTATTTAAATTATCTTAATTTGCTGTCAAAGGGTATCTCAATTGATCAGTATGTCAGTGTGTATCAACAAACTCGTCAAGCACTGCTATTCTGGCAGACTGTAAGACATAGCAGGAGCAACTTTTTTTTTTTAATCTACAACATTTTCAACAAAAGTGAATTACTTATAAAAGTTCAGAATCATTAGCATGGTTTAATAAGCCAAAGTGAAAATCTTATTAAAAAGCAGTCAATAAAAGCCACTATAAAATATTTTTATAGATCTAATGTGAAAATTGCCCTTTAAGAAAGACTGTCATTTATCAAAAAGACCAGATGAATAAGTGACTAAAGTAAAAAGTCATAGTTTTAGCCTTTGCTCTCAGATACAAAAGCAAACCTTCTAGCATTTTTTTCTATTTCTTCTCAGCTGTGAGAGGCACTGGAAAAGGAGTTAATAGACTGCTTCCTAACTTGAAATTTCAGTTCATAAGGTAGCCTTAATAAAGACTATGTCTTTCAGAGAACACACAGACTTAAAAAGTTAAACTAAGTAAATCCTAATGGTTGTATTTATTATCCTTGGTTTCATGCAATACAGCCCTCATATAACCATGGAACTCTAAATGCAAGCAATGTTACAACCCCATCTACTGGAGAGAGGCAAGTAACTGAGTCAATTTTTAATAAAGGTATCCTTTGTAAGCCTTGTTAAGAACTAATGCCATGGAAATCCAGATAAAAATACTTCAAAATAGTAAGAAAGTCTTACCTACATCTTTTCGTCCTGGTTTTTCAAAACGTCTGTCACCCCTAGAAAAGATAAAATGAAGTTTCAAAAAAAAAACATGAGTAATACAAAGATTTCCCATCCATGACACCCACCTTCCTATCTTTAACAGCATTTCCTTTTCAAATTATAAAACAAATACATGGTTTTTGCCTAACATTTGGAAAACACAGAAAAGCACAAATATGAAAGCAAAAATATCCACTGTCTCACCTACCAATAGTTAGCTTCTATAGACCCAGAAACTTTATTAGGTACATTTTTAATTAAATTCATGTTTTATTTTAGGTATCTGCTGTACAGAGCTTTATATACTGCTTTCACAATGTGTTTTTACACATGATTAAATATTTTCAAACTCTTCCTAACTTTTATGGACAAGGATTCCTTGGTGACTCAGAGGTAAAGAATCCGCCTGCCAATGCAGGAGACGCGGGTTTGATCCCTGGGTTGGGAAGATCCCCTGGAGGAGAAAATGGCAACCCACTCCGGTATTTTTGCCTGGGAACTCCCATGGACCAAGGAGCCTGGTTGGGCCACAGTTCACCGGGTCAGGAAAGAGTCAGACATGACTTAGTGACCAAATAACAACTGTGTGGATATGCTATTATATAAGAAACCACACTGAAATTAAGTTGTTTGGCTTATTTCCCATTGTTTTATATTATAAATATTATCACATGGACATCTTTGTATAGTATCTGTGCAACTGCTTTTGCTCATGTTGAAAGACTTCATATAAAGTCACAAGCAATATAGAGAAGATGCTTTGATTAACAGCAACAACAATAAAATGAAAATGCTTGTCACTGAGTACTAATCAAATAGCACATCTAATTAACTATTAAATATCCATGCAGGGACAAAAATATTAACGTATTTATCTAGAACGCTTCTTCCTTGAAATAAGGATCATTTAAACATTTCTAACATAATTCTTAATTAGTAGCATTTTTTGAAAAATGAAACTTTGTAACTATACAAAGAGCATTCTCCTCTGCAGAAAGCAGAGAAGAAATGCTTTTACACCAAGAATCTTTATCCCAAGAGGTGACTCCTTCAGTTACCTTTCCTCCCAGCTCTGTGACCTGTGCATTTCCCTGCCACCTCCTCGGCCAAACACCCCTTCTACTTCATCAAAGCTTCTTTGGTAGAAACCACATTCGCCTCTGCCTCTGCCTGAAAACAACAACACAGAGAAAATGGTCAGATGTCAACATCTGGCACAAGCTGAACACCAAACATTCATCTCTAAAGTGCTGTCTATATACAAAGCAGGATATCTACATTTAAATATTTAGCAAGACCCACTAATCTTTACCAGCGAGACCAATAACAGCAATGACAGCAGTGAAGTAGCTAGACCAGAGGAGGATATTTTTTTAAAAAACCTGTGTAAGAGTCCCAGTTCCAGTCCTGAACAAGAAATAGTATCAACATCAAGCTCCTTAACAGAAAAGTCATAGTGAAATTCTAAAATCAGTAAACCATTATGACAAATCAAACCTTCTATTGGATTATTTTCAATAAAAATGGAAAATGTGAGGAGTTTGAGAAGAGAGCAGACAAAGTACAAAAACTATGCTTAAATGTTAATTTCTTTAACTCCAGAGAAAGGATAATTTAATAGGGTCAACTCTAAACTATCAATTTCGTGAACTAACTTCTTAAAGAATATTCCACACCAACCAAAGGCACTCTTTCCCATTTGCACAAATCTTGGGGAAAACTATCAGGCAGCACTAAATTCAAACCAATGAGCCAGTAAGAAAGTGTGCATGTAGGAATTCATAGAGGCTCCAGTGGCTCAAATGTACACTGGCCTTTACTGGAGGCAATCTGATTAGATTTATCAAATTTGACTCAACATTCCAATTAGAATTTATCCTAATAGAAATACTTGCATAAATATGCAAATATATATATATATATATATATGGAGATTTTTGTTGCAAATTTTTGAAAAACAGAAACATAGTCAGTAAAGGACTGGCTAAGTAAATTTTGATAAAATAGTTCAGTAGAATACTAGGAAGCCACAAAAGATAAAGTACTGTCATTAAAAGAAATCTACACACACACACACAAAAGAAATCTACATTATTCTGTTGAATGACTAAAGCAGGCCCAAGAGCAATACATTTATAAAAAAATTACAATGTATACAAATGATACGATTGCATCGTTAGGACAAGAAGGATATAAACCCAAATGCTACATCTGGGGGCAGAAGGCAATATGCACTTTCAGCTTTATATTTTCTGTGTACTGTGAGGATTTCCCAACTAATGTACGCCACTTGTATCCAACACACAAGCTGAAAACTGGGGGAAGTGGGGGTAAAAATTGTGCCTAGGCATGTATTTATATCTAGATAAAATCTTAGCCATTATCCCCAACTCACTTCTGCAACAGTAAAAAACCACCCAAGGAAAAATGATGATTCTTGAATAAAAGAATGAATCCATTCCAAAGCTAAATACAATTGAGTTAAATAATTGTTTCAAATATCCATGCAGTATTTTTATTTTCTAGCATCACTTATCAAGAACTGACTCAGAATACAATTATACTTCTATATGATCTTATGATGGAATGTAAGAATAATGCATAATTTTATGTATGTAATCACAGAACAATGATACCTTCTTTAGTCTAAGTATCAATCTTCACCTATAAAATGGAAGTGAGGACTAGAGTTGAACTATAATAATCCTAAAGTTACCTTGCAGTTCTATCAACTTAACTTCCACTTAATGTAAAGTTTTGTACCTCTATCCTTAGGAAATACAGATGTATTATTTAAGATCTGTCTTAAAAGAGTTTAACACAAACTGTTAAATAACACTGTGGTGATATTTACAAAGATATTTTTAGGGTGAAAGAAAAATGTCCCCTGTCCTTTTAGAGAACAATTTTCTCAAGAAAACCATTAAGCACACAGCACCTTGAAAAAGTATTTTATTCTGGAAACATGTGAATATGAAAAACAGCGTTCAAAAGCTGCCAGAAAAATAAGCAAACCACAAAATATTTCCTGCCAGTTATGACTAGCATTGGCACTGGTCCTCCTTATGAGCCCAAAGCTTTATAAGTGGGCACAAAAAAAGAACCTGATTCTAGAGCTTTCCAGCTTGCAAAACGTAAGGAACACTCTTCAAAGTGCAAGGCCCATAATCATCTATAAAAGTAGCTCCCATAGGAGGAGAAGCAAGTAAATATAACATGAGAATCTTTCATAAAGTTAAATTTAAATGACTGTCCTAATCTATGAGATTTTACCCTCTTCTTTGGGGGGATTAAAATATACTTCCTTTAAAAAAAAAAAAACTTCCTTTAATAATGAGGAAGGCAATGGCTGACAACTGTATAGATATGCTTTATTTTCAAACATCTTCACCAGACAAAATAGAAAGATGACAAATTCATGGTGTTTCCCTGTTCATTTATTTAAATTTTACTGCTTCATGATATTCAAAGTATGAAAGTCAGCTGATTTTCACAACAAACTTCTCTCAAGTTGGAAAGAGGCAGGGCAATCATCTGATGTCAGGTCTGATCATGCCAAAAAAAAAAAAAAAGCTACACTAATCACTATTTATTTAACCAACAGGTTAAAATTAAGCAATAACTGAAGAAAACAAAACCACAGATTAAAGGTCTCATGGAACCAATAAGAATCACAGTTGGGACAATGGTATCAGAAGTATTTCTCACTAGGTCAGTTCATTCATTTAACTAGTTTCATTTCATCCATTCATATCAATGTTAATTAAGTCACTGCTTTTATTACAGGATCTTTCATACAAGTCCCATTTAAATTCTGAATGTAAGAGTTCTATTCCTATATAATAACAATATGCACTTCAAACCAGAAGGCAGAAAGAAATTAATCAATGCTTCATCAGTTTCTAGACCTGTAATTTGTTTTAACAAGTATTTAGAGATTGGTTGGTATTTGCAATACACAACACTGGTGGTCACTTGAGGAACAAAAAACAGCTGCTTGTGGGCCTCACTTCTAAATAAGACCTCTCACCATCATGCCCTGAAAAGCACTAGAGGAAAAGCTCCCCAAGGGCAACCTCTTCTCAGTGCGAGTGCACTGCAGAAAAACCCAGGCAACATCCAAGGAGCAGGCCACAGTCACCCTCACAACACCATCATCACATCCCCAAGAAGCACAGATCTCAGACGATTTCTGGACCAACAGAACCTAACTACGTTTGGGAATCTAAATGGCCTGTGGACCTTCTGAAACACACATGCTTAAATCTCACCAACCAGTATATTCTGCTGCAGATATTTTTTCCTGTTGCGTTTTACAGATGATTCTAACAACTCCCCAGGTTAAAAACCACCATTCTAGAGACTGACAAATTCAGAAGGAAAACACATGGACAACCTGGTAACAGCGCCTGATCTACAAGTAGAGTTTTAGTTAACCTCTTCAAAAATACTCAGAACAGTTGCCTTCCCACATTCTGAATGAAACCCCTTCACAGGAATACACAATTTAATAAAGTCTCTATAAAGAATGGATATAAATCACTCGATTCATAAAGGATAACTTTAAGAAAAAAGAATTTAGATACTCCACATTCATGATCATGCCAACCTGGATGGTGCAATGTGTGGAGGCAATGGCTTCTTTTTTTGCAGACATCCAATTCTTCCAAAAGCACCTTCTAAAACTGCAAGGTGTGTTGAGACTTCTGCTATGATTTAGCCAACTTAGAAGTAAAAGCTCAAGTAAATATCTACATTATAAACATTAGGAATGCCCTTAAGCAGCAGCAGATCAACAAACTCCAAGCTGGGAGCAGATATCAGAGAACAAGTAGTATCAATTATTCTTCTAAGAAAAGACACATCCATAAAACATACAACTACAGATTACATAAAGGATTGCTGCGTCATGTCTTCTTTCTTCTGCACCCTAAAAAGGTCTCATACTGAGGAGACGGCTTTTACAGAAGCCTCCGTCTGGCTGGGGACACTCCTGGCACATGGCCTTATATGGAGACCCGAGTCCAGAGGCCTGCAGGGACCTGGGTGCCACTCCTGCAGCCACGGCACTTCAGGGAGCTCCAGCTCTCACAGTGTAAGGTCCCCTGGGGGTGAGGAATATGGATCACAAATATTTGCCAAAGAGAATGAGGACCACCTAAAATCATTCACACTCAAGTCTCTAGGCTCAAATCACCCTCTTCTACTCCAAACGAGGGGTTGTGGACTAGATACACTGAGAATTGGATCCAAAAACAAATGTTCAGGACATTTATTATGCAGTTAATGTCAAAAAGCAGTTTTCAAAAATCAAATATCAAAATATTTTTAAAGTGATTTATTTATTTCCCTGTTCTCTTTCTCCACCATTCCGTTATTACTTTTTTTTCACATGAAAGCTCACCTCGCCCTCGTGAAGAACTTCGACCTCTAGGAGCCCCCACCACTGTTCCTCCTCCTCCTCGTCCTGTCAATCGCAGGACAGCAGCACTATTTACGGACATGGAAAAGTTTCTCTGCCAAAAAAAGAAAAGAAAGAAAATGAATAAAACAGATAAAACCGCATGTTGCTCCTCACCATCTCCCACAGCATCTATAAACCGGCATCTAATGACTACCAGCAATGAGAAATGATCACCACATGGCACACTAAGATGTTCCAAATTTTGGTTTTAGCTGAAAATTTTAACGTTTCAGATCAACAAACATGAACCACCAATGCCTTACACCATGTTAGGTTCTGTAAGTACCCAAGAGGAGGCAAGATATGTATGCATCATCATAATAGAGAATACACAGTAAAAGATATCTGGTTTGAAAGGGTCCTTTACTGAAAGGTGGAAATGAGCGGGAGTCACAAAAGGTCTGAATCAACAGTAACAGGATTAAAAAAAAATGGATCATTTTGCCTCATTCTGCTCATCAGTGTGAATGAGCAACTCCAACTAGAGTTTAATAGAATGACAGGTATCAGGGATGAATGGGGAAAGGCAAAGAAAGAAGAGGGGACGGGAAGAGAAGGCCTGAGAAGAATAAACAAAATCGCAGTCACCTGGTCATTGGCCTATATCTGCACCCACAGCCAATGTGGAAAAGGGTCAAACATGACAAGAGCAGTAGTGGGGGGGGCATCCTTCAAACATGAAGAGGGGACACAGGAAGACAGGGGGTCTGGGATTCAAAAATATGTTCAGTCGATACTTCTGGATAAATGGAACACACAGGGCTTAGGAAAAGGTAAAGCAGGAAGCAATTATAAAAATACTGGAAAATGATCTATGAAATATCAAAATCCTACACATATGAAACAATTTAATGAGAGAGTTTTAAACTCAAAAACTGTTGGAATACATCTTTACCTGAATACTTTCTATACACTTGGGCTTCTCTGATAAGCTCAGCTGGTAAAGAATCCACCTGCAATGCAGGAGACCCCAGTTTGATTCCTGGGATGGGAAGATCCACTAGATAAGGGATAGGCTACCCGCTCCAGTATTCTTGGGCTTCCCTTGTGGCTCAGCTGGTGAAGAATCCAACTGCAATGCAGGAGGCCTGAGTTCGATCCTTGGGTCGGGAAGATGCCCTGAAGGAAAAGACTACCCACTCCAGTATTCTGGCCTGGAGAATTCCATGGACTGTACGCAAAGAGTCGGACACGACTGAGCAATTAAGCAGAGCACAGAACCTAACAGACATCTGTGCAAAAATGCAGTGGTATGGGAGTGTGGGAAACCTGACTTCAGCACGGCTGCAGCAATGGTCCTCTGGACAGAGAAGCAACAAGTGAGGCTTAGAGTACACAAGTTTGGTAGCAGCTAACCAAATTTCAGGGAAATAAAATTCTGCAATTCAACTACTTATTTTAAGTCCAAATTGTTTCCACTGTGTTTGGATTCAAAATCAAATGAAATATGATATTCCTATCTTAAAGAAATCAACATGTAATTTTGGTTTGAAAAACTTCTACTTTCATTACTAAATTTTTCTTGTTTTAATATATGGGTGATTTTCTCCTCATTAACTGTCACTACTTGTCTTTATCAGAACTGTATTCAATTGAATTTGTTCAGGTAAACTTCAGAAACTTATTTTTTCCTTTGAACTTTTATAGGCATATAATAATACAATCAAGTAACTTCAAAACTGAAGACCAAGATGTAATTAATAATGGAAAACTAGAGGCAGATACCAAACTTAATCAATACTTACTTCAAACTGTATTTTAATAAAAATTATTTTTAAGAAAAGCTAGTTGAAACAAATGCATTAATTTATCTTGGGGCACACACAGTAAACAGCAGTGTTACTGAATAACTCTTCTGGGATCACAATTAAGCAAGACTGTGAAATCCCAAAATCTAGATTCACGTATTCTAATACTGGAAAAATAGAAGTCAGTGTTAAATGTACTGTCCATGCCAGAATCTGACACTGTTGAATACCTCATAACCAAAGTATTACATGTATGAAACTCAAACACACCCATCTACAGGGTTCAGGGAAACTCTCATATGCTTTCTTTCACACTTCCTAACACACTGCAGCTGAACGTGAAAGTTGGTATAATCTCTGGAAGGCTATATATATATATACTTATCAGATACATTTGTCAAAGTATATTTCAATGTCCACCCCTTTTGACACAACACTTTCTCTTTCTACACGTGTGAAAAATAACATAAGCACAAAGATTTTAACTGCAGTACTGTTTGTAAAAGCAAAAATGGCAACTGGCTAAGTATCAATCAAAAGGACCTGATCTAAAAATCATGATTCTACACAATTTTTTAAAAATATAAGGCAACTCTTACTTATTAGGGTTAACCATATAAACTGGGCTTCCTTGGTGGCTCACTCAGTAAAGAATCCACCTACAATACAGGAGATTGCATGCAACAGAGGAGACTTGGGTGAAAGCCGAGTCAGGAAGATCCCCTGGAGGAGGAAATGGTAACTCACTCTAGTAGTCTTTTTTTTTTTTTCACTCTGGTATTCTTGCCTGGGAAATCCCATGGACAGAGGAGCCTTCCAGGCTACAGTTCATGGGGTCACAAGAGTCGGACATGACTTAGCAACTACACCACCACCATCATTATACAAAACGGCTAATATTCAATCATTTCTGATCCAGAAAACCACAATTTCCTACAGTCAGCCTAATCAAGCTCCAGCCTAATAGCTGGAGTGAAGTGCATGGAGAGGCTAGACTGCCTGAGAGTGAACTGCAGCTCCTTTACTCAACTCTGTGCCTCATTTTCCTCATGCATATAATGTGAAAAGCAATCTACTTCATGGGCTGTTGTAAGCACTTAATACATTAAGCAACAAGTAGTTAGAACAGTGACACACCTTGAAAGTTAAATATATATGTCATTATCTCCCAAATAGATGCTTAGGTAGAAACAGTGTATGCATAACAGGCATGCGTGCGTTTTAAAGAACAGATACAAAAGTAGCTGCAGTTGTATTAAATAGCAGCCGGGTGCGTGTGTGTGTGTGCACGCGCGCGTGTTTTAAAGAACAGACACAAAAGTAGCTGCAGTTGTATTAAATACCCTAGAAAGGGAACACAAGAAAATGATGGGGAATACATGTAAATCCATGGCTGATTCATTTCAATGTATGACAAAAACCACAGCAATGATGTAAAGTAATTAGCCTCCAACTAATAAAAATAAATGAAAAAAAAAAATCCTGAGGGAGAAAAAAGCCTAGGTCACTCATAAGACTTGTTTTTCACTGTATGTGCTTTGTGAATTTTGCATGTATACACATGTATTGTCTAATAAAAAATGCATAAATGAAGTGCCTTTCTTTCATGTCAAATTAATAAATACACCAATCTGGTAGCAGTTACTTAAATTACAAGTGTAATATATAGAGCTTTATTGATTATGCCAAAGCCTTTGACTGTGTGGATCACAATAAACTCTGGAAAATTCTGAAAGAGATGGGAATACCAGACCACCTGACCTGCCTCTTGAGAAATCTGTGTGCAGGTCAGGAAGCAACAGTTGGAACTGGACATGGACTGGTTCCAACAGGAAAAGGATATGTCGAGGCTGTACACTGTCATCCTGCTTATTTAACTTATATGCAGAGTACATCATGAGAAATGTTGGGCTGGAGGAAGCACAAGCTAGAGTCAAGACTGCCGGGAGAAATAACAATAACCTCAGATACGCAGATGACACCACCCTTAAGGCAGAAAGTGAAGAAGAACTAAAGAGCCCCTTGATGAAAGTAAAAGAGGAGAGTGAAAAAGTTGCCTTAAAGCTTAACATTCACAAAACTAAGATAATGGCATCTGGTCCCATCACTTCATGGCAAGCAGATGGGGAAACAGTGGCAGACTTTATTATTTTGGGCTCCAAAATCACTGCAGATGGTGACTGAAGCCATGAAATTAAAAGACGCTTGCTCCTTGGAAGGCAAGTTATGACCCAACCTAGATAGCATATTAGGAAGCAGAGACATTACTTTGCCAACAAAGGTCCGTCTAGTCAAAGCTATGGTTTTTCCAGTAGACACATATGGATGTGGGAGTTGAACTATAAAGAAAGCTGAGCGCCGAAGAATTGATGCTTTTGAACTGTGGTATTGGAGAAGACTCTTGAGAGTCCCTTGGACTACAAGGAGATCCAACCAGTCCATCCTAAAGGAGATCAGTCCTGGGTGTTCATTGGAAGGACTGATGTTGAAGCTGAAACTCCAATACTTTGGCCACCTGATGCAAAGAACTGACTCAATGGAAAAGACCCTGATGCTGGGAAAGACTGAAAGCAGGAGGAGAAGGGAATGACAGAGGATGAGATGGTTGAATGGCATCACCGACTCAATGGACATGAGTTTGGGTAGACTCCGAGAGTTGGTGATGGACAGGGAGGCCTGGCATGCTGCAGTCCATGGGGTCACAAAGAGTCGGACACGGCTGAGCAATATAACTGAATGCTTTTCAAACTTGAGAAGGACATACAGGGAAATGTCAAATTAAACAGCAACCAGAGGATCTTATTCGAGCATTAATTTTGTTCAAAGAAAACCTTTTATGTAGTTATATTTTACACATGCGTGCATTCATGTATGTGTGTACATGTATGTGTAAGAGTATATGTGGTGGGGACGGTGTGGGCAAGAAGTGCGCACACTCAGTTAACTTGCATTTTAAAGATAAAATACCCTCTTTAGGTAACATCAGGAAACAAGATATATAGCAAGAAGCTATTTTAGGTTATTAGAATTATTTACCTCCCAGATAGGAGTAACAGGGTGAATAGGTATGCAAAACTCTAGCCTAGGAAGGTCTAAGCAATTCCTGAACAGGTAACCATCCAAAATATTAATGAATCTTTTGCCAGCTCTAAGTACTGTCCTATTCCAACATATATTATAAAAAGAAAGGATAGCAAGTGTCAAGAATTCCTAAATTTTGCATTTTTGTGCTGCGCTATGCTTAATCGCTCAGTCGTGTCCAACTCTGCGACTCCATGGACTGCAGTACGCCAGGCTCCTCTGT